TTTTTTTTTTTGTAAACTAATCAATGGGTTCAAATGTAAGTTAAGAAAAAAAAAAGAATTATAATCAAAAGCAGGAAAGAAAAAGTAAATAAAATTCAAAAAAAAAAATAAATAAATAAATAAAGGGCTATACACAACGACATAAATGCGAGTTATACATTTATCAGCGGAATAAAATTGATAACCTGTTTTTGATTATAACTTAATAAACAACAAAAAAATTTAACATTTATTTGAATGATTATAGTAGGTCTATAAATCTCTGTAAATTTTCGCTGATCTTAGCTCAGATCATAGAATAAACAAGAACTGTTTCTCATTTCTAGTGTTCCGTAAGACGAAAGCAAGAGAAGAAGCAATAGAACCAAAGCAAGAACATCCCCTTCTACACCTCCCCTCACCCATCTACCTTGTTCTGTAAACTGACGAAAGCACAGATTTTGTGATTACAACACTATATGTTACAAAAAAAATAATTGTGTTTTTCAATCAGACTTCTTTATCTTGTTTTACAACTACACAGATCTACTAGTATCCGTCAAGTAGCACGCCAACTATCCTACCAGAAGGTGCAACAAAATTCCTGCTCAATAGCAAATTAGTCCTTTGTTTTCTTCGTCCATCATACAATGCTCCTGATTTTCTTACCAGAAAAGCCTACACACTGATATTAAATTTTCAAGTGATATTGCGGGTGATAGTGGTGCCTCTGCTGTTCCTGCCGACATACTACCAAATACACAGTTACGATCTTCAACCAAAATTTATCATTATCTGAAGTTAACGTTTTAAATGAAAGATGAGTTTCATTAGTTAGTACACTGTACTTTTGAGAAACACAAAAAAAAGTAACTTTGACGAAACTTATCATTACTCTGCGATCAGAATTCCAGAATGAAAATAATACAGAAAAACCTACCGATAGCTGAATGACTGGTACACGTTGTAATGCGCCAAAACGAGACAATCTCATCACAATTACAACTACTGTCAAACATTTTTTCTTCCTTTTTTTTCGCTCAGATTTTTCATACCTTAAACATGTCACGAAAACAATTCACAGTCAGCGCTGCTAATGCTCAAGCAATAACATTGCTACAAAATTGATCATTTAAATTTCATGTTAAGTCCTCAATGTACGGTACAAATGAACAGTGAGTAAACGACCAAAATGAATGACCAAGACAAGTGTAGAATAATGCTTAGCATTCTGGTGCAGAGTACTTCTGGCGGCACACTAACAAGTCACCAAACAAATTGAGACACGAGAAAAACACGTAGATGTCGTTCGTTCCATTTCAAACATCAAATGATTGGTTCGTCTTTG